AGTTTTTGTAATGAGACGGTAAGAGTTTTAGCTTTAAGTGAGCAACACTTGATGATATCCCGGACGTCAGTCTAAGCGAGATTAGAATGACTCTCCAGCACCTTAAAAACGTCAGGGCCCCAGGCGAGGATGGAATTACAGCGGAGCTTCTGAAAGCGGGTGGAACAACGGTACCTGAAGTCCTTCAGAAGTTCTTTAATTACGTCCTCCATGGTGGCACTACTTCGGAGGCGTGGAGCAGAAGTGGGGTGGTCTTGTTCTTTAAGAAAGGCGACAACGCTCTCTTGAAGAACTACAGACCGATTTCCCTTCTGATTCGCGTCTTCCAGACGACTTCCAGTCTCCCGAACAAGCCGGTTTCCGAAAAGGCTACAGTACCATAGATCACATACATACCCTGCGACAGATTGTACAGAAGACCGAAGAGTACAATCTGCCACTTTGCCTGGCGTATGTGGACTATGAGAAAGCCTTTGATTCCGTCGAAATTTGGGCGGTGCTACAGTCCCTTCAGCGGTGCCAAGTTGACTGTCGGTATATCGAAGTGCTGAAGTGTTTGTACAGTAGGGCTACGATGGCTATCCGAGTACAGAACCAGAGTTCGAAACCTATCCAAATGCGGAGAGGTGTAAGACAGGGTGACGTTATATCCCCGAAACTCTTCACCGCTGCGTTGGATGACGCTTACAAGCTACTGGACTGGAAAGGATACGGTATTAACATCAATGGCGAGTACATCACCCACCTTCGATTTGCCGACGATATAGTCCTTATGGCAGAATCGCTGGAGGACCTTAGCACTATGCTCAATGACCTCAATGGTGTCTCCCAACGATAGGTCTTAAGATGAACATGGAGAAAACAAAGATCATGTTTAACGTCCATGTCACACCTATGCCGGTAGTTGTAGGGAGCACCATGCTCGAAGTTGTTGACGAGTACGTTTACCTGGGACAAATAGTCCGACTAGGTAAGTCCAACTTCGACCGAGAGGTCAATCGACGGATTCAACTCGGCTGGACAGCGTTCGGGAAATTACGACACATCTTCTCATCAGGTATACCTCAATCTCTGAAAACTAAAGTGTACAACCAGTGCGTGTTGCCAGTGATGCCTTACGGATCTGAGACGTGGTCCTTTACTGCTGGCCGTACGAGGACGCTCAAGGACACTCAGCGAGCTATGGAGAGGGCTATGCTCGGAGTTTCTCTGCGTGATAGACTCAGAAATGAGGATATCCGCAGTAAAACCAGAGTGACCAACATAGCCTAACGGATTAGTAAGCTGAAGTGGCAATAGGCCGGCCATATAGCTCGAAGAACCGATAACCGATGGGGAAGAAAGGTTCTCGAGTGGCAGCCTCGTACCGGTAGGCGTAGTGTAGAGCGACCCCCCACTAGATGGAGTGACCTGGTAAGACATGCAGGAAGTCGATGGATGCAGGTGGCTCAGGACCGTGCTTTGTGGCATTATTTGGGGGAGGCCTATGTTCAGCAGTGGACTTGTGAAGGGCTGTAATGATGATGATGATGATTGAGCAACACTTATACGTTTACAATTATATTGCTGTTTCCCATCACTAGTGTATGAAATAAATTTTTATGGAATATTGTGGTGGATATTGTCCGATTTACACCACACAAAGCCACGGTTGGCGTATGAAAAAATAGTTAATTTATTATTACTTACAAACAAAATAATATTTAAGATCATTACCTTCAATGAAATAGGTAGATCTGTATTGCTCTGAAATTAAAAAATGTGGGTCAAAACAAATGAAATACATTAAATTTTAAAAAAGAATTATATTAATGAACTTTAAACATATCTAAATCAAAAAGCAACAATATTATTTGGCAATAAAAGCATTCTCTTCATAATCCAAGAATACGAAGAAAACTAAAAGTTTCTAAATTTGAAATATGTGCTATCTAATTGAAAAGTAAGATTTTCAAAATTATCTTAGAGCCTTTTATGTTCAGGTCGGTAAAGCTGGAATTTTAGAAGAGCGTGCTATATGCATTCAATTAAGGGTAGGAAAACATATAATTTAACACCCCCATGAAACTTATTTTTACAAAATCAATAACCATTTTATTAAATGTGCTCATAAATCAGTTTGCAAAACAAATTACTAACTAAATCACAAGCTACCATGTTCTAAAGGACCATGTCTAAAAATTTAAAAGCAAGGGTTGGTAATAATATAAAATATAGCTCAGCCGGGCTAGCATGAGCGGGGGATAAAAATTTTATCCACCGATTATATCCACTGACAAGGGATAAAATTGACTTATCCCTATGTCAAAGCTTTATCCACCCTGCGAGCATGGGCCTATGGTGGATATAATATCGACAGTAGATAAACTTATCCCCGCGCATAGATAATATACGATAGCAAAGATGTTTTATAAAACATCTTTGTACGATAGTATAAAGCTATAAACTATACTAGCTATAAACTTCTTTTAAGGTTAAGTAGATTTACATTAACTTATATTTTCTTTTTACCTTTTGTTTATTATATTGCTAAACTGTTAATAATTTTTGTTAAACAATATGTCATTTATAATATTTGTTATATTTATTTTAAGCGTATTTCTGCCTTGTTTTTATTTTTTCTATTATTCTAATTATTTCTTTATTTTCTTTTGTATAATATTTAAGTTAAGTATACATTGCTTGTATCGGTTCGCAGGTATTACTTCCATGTGATAGCATTTATTAAAAAAATATGTGTCTAGAATTAAGCCAATTGCGAAACTGGACAATACAGACCCTTTGGAGGTGGTGTAACCTCTTGAGGAAATTAAAAAAAAATTATCCCCGCAATTACTGCCATTATAAGAAAATTACAAAATACATCAAAATTCTACTCTAAGTCACAAAGATTTAATTTTAATTGAAAATGACGAAACATGAAGAATAAAAATGTAATGATTACAAACAAAACAAGGAATAAATAATTTTATAATCATGAGTATTGTGTTATTTGTATTCCTAATATTATGTATATTAGTCTTTAGACTTGTATTTACCTACACAAGAGGCTAATTAAAGTATATTGCTCCACACATTCTAATGATGGCCCCAATAATTTAGGTCAAGTATTTGCTGATTATTTGTTGTTTGAACAACAGCCATGCCATGGTCTTGAATCGAACCTCTCTAGTAGGTAACTACCTTCTGCCAAGAGACTGAAGGATGTAAACTACCTACCTAGAAAAAATATTAAGATAAGTTACATAAGCCACATGTATTGATTGCAAATACACGATGTTTTTGGACAAGGTGGTTGTAATAGATGCTTACTTCAATATGTACTGGTAGTCCATCCACAGAAGTAATAGGCTTTAAAGCCTCATAGAGTTCTTTACACAAATACAAAACAATATTTGAGCATCCGAAACAGGCGTAGAAATTCGTTGTCGGAGAATTCCAATAGATTAAGTATTCTGATCACGTATCCATCGCTGGTGTAATTTTCTTTCTTGTTTTTCAATTTCTGACACGAAAATGTAGTTGCAATAGGCTCGAGACATCTTTTTCGTATTAAAATGGTTTGAAGATAAACTTAAACCCACGTCCGCGAAAGAGGATAAAATTGTCCCTTTCAAATGTCAAAAAGGGATAATTTTTTCTCTTTCCCTTGGCCTCATGCTACGGACGGGGGAGATATATGTCTACTCGTTATGTCAAACGGGGATATACTATAGAGATAAGATAATTTTATCTCTTGTCAGTGGATATAATCGGGGGACATAATTTTTGTCTCTTGCTCATGCTCGCAGGGTGGATAAAACTAAGCAAGGGATAAAATTATATCCTCTCTCCGGGGATATATTCTCTCCGGCTCATGCTAGCCCGGCAGATGTTTTACTTCCGTGACTTTGAAATCGGATCGATTGAGATCGAGTCCCGGCTTTCGAAAGTAACAAATGGAACTTAAAGAAATTTTCCATGTCAGGATAGTGAATATAATGATTTCCTCGACTTCAGAAAATAAAATTTTATTTTTGTGCATCTTTAATATAATGGATTTCTGCAAATTAACGCCTGATTCTTTTAATTATCTTTTTTTTTGTCAAGTTTAGTTTTTTTTTAAATCTACTACTATTTAGAACCTCACCTCTCCCCCTCTGATCGAAGAAGAAACTCCTTACCTTATGAACTTCAAAACCCTTTTTTGAGTGAGCCTTCATCAGTTTTCGCTTCTGCGATTTATCTAATTCAACATCATTATCTTAAGAATAGCGAGCCTACTTGCAGCTCTTTTTAAGTGATTCAATGTTTAATTAATTCGTCTGATGTTCCTTTTTAATATTTTTTATAGAAGAAACGAGCTTGCGGTTCACCTGATGGTAAGTGACTACCGCCGCCCACGAACACCAGGGGAATTGCAGGTGCGTTGCCGGCCTTTTAGAAATGGGCATGCACTTTTCTTGAAGGTCCCTTAGTCGTATCTGTCCGGAAAAATCGCCGGTGGTAAACAATTCGAAATAAGTGAATAGCAAATGTGCTGTGGTAGCTCAGAAGCACGCTTTAAATTACGTACGATTAAGGTACGTAAGAGCGACCCGAGCGTGATCTTAGCTGCTGCTTTTATAGTAGATTTTAGTTGTTGATTTACCACGTGCTTTGAAGAAAAACATTATGAGAAAAGCATGTCTTACCTGTATCTGCCGCTAAATAGTAGTACCGCTGCGGTCCAATCTTTAGCGTAAAAATACAACAATATAATTACAGGCTATATCAAATGCATTCCGTTTCAGTCTTCAGAGGTAACAACGCACCTGTAGCCTTCTTTGTTTTATATCGGCTTCAGGTATTCAGGACAGCGGTAGTCGCTTACCATCAAGTGGATTGTAAGTTTGATTATCACTTCAGTCTTATAAATAAAAAAAAAACAGTAATGTAATGAAATTTTATGCTTGAAATTGAATTACGAGATGTTATATTACAATAGAATGCCCTCGGATACTACTCACGTTCAGACGTCATTAGATTATGTAAATTTTAGAAACCTTATGTTTACAACATCCTCTTCCACAGCAAATTTGTATAATAGCGGTTTGAGGGAAAACGGGTCCTTCATCCCTCTTGCGGCTTGTCCTCGAAAACTTTGAATCAACGATGGTTATATTAGATAACCCAAACATATTGTGTTCTTTGTCCAACCGTAGAATAGTTGACAGACATTTCTCACCGAGGCTGACACATGATCCAATGTTTTCTTCAGAATCACTAACACACGACCCTGACAACGACTGATTTGGAGTTAGACACGGAGACCTGGAATAAAAGAATACAAAATTAAATCTTTTCTATATTAAACGTTACTATTATTTTACTGCTTCATGCTAATGATAATGAATGTACCTTAAAAACTTATTCACGTCATTGATCAAAATGCTCCTTTCTTTCTATTCCTTACCTTTGCTCCCGTTAACGCGTTTACAATTCTGGAACGATACCAGGGCTGTATAATTAAAGAACATTAGATATAACTCGACAAGTTAATTTACAAACCTAGAATCTATGGATCCCGATGGATTTTCACTTAGCCATTTCATTTTTGTGAGTCTTAAAATATTTTGCTTATTAACTTCATCAGATAAATCATCACTTTCAGAATATTCGCTGTTCTCGGCAGTCGTTGTCGAAGGCTAAAAAATTAAAAGTAGCAATTAAGTTGTTAAAAAAACAATATATACATTTATCAATTATTCATTTACTTACGTAAGCTGTTGATGCATCTGTGTCTTTCAACGAGTCATCATTTTTTGATTCAGTATGACGACTTGCGTACTTTCTTTCTATTTGTTTTGGTTCATCTTCCATAACCTTACAAAGAAAAGTGGTATGTGATGGAAATTACATATTAATAAATAATTAATACTAAATAAAAACACTTAAAGTAAGAAGTAGACAGATAAGTACGTAAGTTTCTCAAGCATAACAAAAAGATAGAAGGCAAGATATACGTTAATTAAAAACCTAATATTTTTACACTAATAATTTGATTTGTGGTGATTACTCTAAAATTAAAGGAAGTACTCCGGATAATATAGAAGCACTCGCTTCGTAGAGTGAAATAAAATGTTGACACTTTCGGAGGTATATAGGTCAATAGGAATATCAACTTTTCCGTTGACCACAAGTGGCTCTGTACTTAACCGTTTCCCTTACCTTTTGCATAAAACTAAAGACATTTAAATTCAGACGGGACAAAGCAGTTGAAATCGAAATCCAATATTTGTTACATCAGGTCGCTGAATCTAGTGCGACATGAGACTACGAGAGGATGTATTTAGTTACAAGAGAATAAGGTTTGAAGAAAGTATAACGATTATACTGAAGAACTTATTATATTAATACATGTTTTTGATATTTAAAACAATATAACGTTACTGACGTACGAGATCTATGTTTTTGTATGAAAATATTCATATTGGACACTCCATAAACCTTTTGTTTTTTACGTGGTAGAGCCATGCTGCAATTATATTAGTAGTATAGTTGTAGCACGAATGGGTCGGCTCGACCGGGGAAGGACCACGCTCTCACAGAATACCAGCGTGAAATAGTAGTTTAATGCTGCTGTATTTCGTATGGTGAGTGTAGAGAACCGGAGACCCTTTTTACTGGAAATGAGGCATTCCATCTCAGTCCTCACGGGTGACAACGCATCTGCATTTGATTTGTAATGGAAGATAGATGTAGATGTCTATGGGCCGCAGCAACCACTTACCATCAGGTGGACTGTGTGCTCGTTTGTCACCCTATCCTATAAAAAAAAAAAAAACTAAAAACTTTGCTTAAAACATACTTCCTCAATGAGCTCCTGAGACGGCCGGCTGAAACAACGAATCATGATTTTTTCAATATCGGTTGGCTTGATTTCGTTCATCTGACACATATATGTGTAAATCCCATTTTGATCTGATGTCTTTTGAGTTAGCTCCATTTTAGTATCTATTAATAGCGAGTAATCGCTGTCTTGTTTTTTTAAACTATGGCTGGAGTTTTTATTCATATTGTAGCTATTTATATTATATTTTCTGTTAAGATTGGGGATTGCATTGTTAGCAACATTTTTTGAAAAGTAAAAGGTAAAAAAAGCTAAATCTGCTCGTTACATTATGGCTGCTTAAATGACACTTCAATAAAATTATTTTGTACACGTATTGTCATTTTTATTATTTTTCATATTTGACACAAAAAACTATAAACGGCTTGTTTTTTATGGAATAGAAATTACATTGAATACATTTACGTTAGCTGTTGATGTGTCTGATGATGCGCCATTAAATACATTTATCCTGAATTAAGAATCAAAATGCTGATCCGTTTTCACCCCTGAGGACTAAGATGGATTGCTACGTTTCCAGTAAAAAGGTTCTCCGGTTTTCTACACCAACCATACGAAACAGAGCAGCATTAAGGTGCTATTTTACGCTGGTATTCTGTGAGAGCGTGGTCCTCTCCCAATCGTTCCGACCTATTCGTGCTCCAGCTATACGTGTAACCTGAGTTGACGTAGTCACGGTAATATTATAGATAAAATTACCGTGACGTAGTAAAAATATCTACTTGCATTTGATTTAGATTTCAAATATGTTTTTTATCTTTAAACAATATAATATAGTTTAAAGATGCAAATGTATGTTGACAAAATATGTAAATGATGTAATTGTTTGTTTTGGGCAAACGATTACCGTCTGTAAGAGACCAAAATAAAGAATACTATAATAAATAAGTAGCAATTAATAAATTGTACCAGATAAGATATAGTGAGACTGCTACGATCAACTGATGTTAATGACATCACATTGAACAAAAACCAAGTTTAACAAAGGAATAACAATAAAAAAGAGATTTTTCCGAAGATTACACGGCTACGGTTCGTTTGGTCTGTGTTGAATCAGATGCGTCATTTTTTGCCTGTCTATCGGTCAATCTGTGAAAATGTTTTATGATAATTAAAAAAAAAAACGTGGTAGGCAAGTCTTTTGTCATAAGTAATGGAAAAATAAATTGATGTTATTTTGTAATAGAATCTTCTAATCATTGCTCTCGGTAGGGAATAATAGTGCTGCGTATCAATGTGATCGAATACTCGGAGATCTAATATTAGGTAATACAAAAGAGACCACTTTTTTAGTAAAATTGTCCTTATTATTTTCTCGTCCCGAAGTAAACTTGCTTTTAAAAATTATATATTACGAAAGATTTAAAAAAGTAATTACATATTTAATTTCTTTTCACGGTGTGTATTGAAAAGCTTAGGATGTCTGTTTCAAAGAGTTAATTGTTGTTAAGTTTTTGTATCTATCATCCTGCATAAAATGTTACCTATTGGAATTTTATATTTTACCTTTAACACCTATTTTAAAGAGCTTCTAGCTTACTTTCACGTGAGGTGCTACTAAAACGGTCGTAAACTATTGAATAAATCAAAAGCAGAAAAGGTAATTTGTATATAGTGGCGATTCATATTAGACCAGAGATTGTAAACATTTTGTAAGTTACAATTTCTAGCAGAAAAAATAATCTAAATAAAAATATATACTTAATATATACTTATGGATTTAAATATTTCCTTAAAAATGCCTTAAAATATGTACAGGAAACTTGTTTCTTCATGAAACAGTTTTTTCATCTAAAAAATGTTATGTGTATAAGAAATATGATATTATATGAATATGTATCCTCAATTCGCTTCGGCTAAGCCTAATGATTAAGGTAAAGACTCCATACAATAGGAACGTCTTCCAGTGTCGGACTTTTATGAGCTGGTGAAATAGATTTTTTATAGACTAAGGCATAACAAAAGAGCACACAGATCACCTGGTGGTAAGTGGATGCTTTAGCTCATGGACATCTCCACTTACTCTCGATTAAAAATCAATATGCAGATGTGTTCCCACCCCTGAAGACCAAGATGGAATGCCTTGTTTCTAGTAAAAAAAGGTCTTCGGATTTCTACACTCACCATACGAAATTAAGCAGTTATTTTACGTTCCTTCCCCGGACGGGCTAACCGATTCATGCTTCAACCACATTATAGCTGCAGCGCGGCTCTACCACGTATAGAATGTATGTAATGAAGACGTAGGAAATCTCAAAAACACTGTCACTCTAGCACTCACGTGTTTAATATAACAAATGGTGTGGCCAATTATCCCGATTCTAATCCGGGCCGAAGAACCAGAAAATGGTGACGCTAATGGTTCCTGGGTTCGAATCCGGAAACGGGTAGTCACTAAAGGGTTAGGGTGACAATGTTGCCCTTCGTATCCGGATCGAAGAAACCTGAAAATAGTGGGGCATTCGTGTGCTAATTTTAAATCAAGGAAGGAAATACTACCAGCTAAAGTAGTCTACAAAATATGCGTTTTGGCGCAACCAACAAATATAGCGATAAGAAGAAGAGAACGGTCAGGAGCATTAGAAGCACATCTATATTCATTTATTGAAACAAAATATTGCTCGAGTCGGGAAACAATATGGGAGAACTTGCAGAACACTTAAAGTGAAAAAATATAAGGATTAGGACATAAGGGGAAACAGTCGGTTTTCCCCAGTCAGTTTTCCCCTTATCTCTAGATGCAGTATTAAGGACACACATAAAACATTCTGAATATCATATCGAAAATCAAAAATTTGTACTTTTGCATAAACTTCGGTGGATATTCCAATCTGGAACACTTGATGTAGTAGCCGCTTAGTATAGAACACAGAAAACCAGACACGTATAATATAGATGGTTGGTATGGTTAATTATATTTTGCATGTAAATATATTTCTTCTAATAGGGAAAGATATAAATTACTCTGGAATAAATTAATCTGGAATTAATCTGGAAATGGATAATGATACAAATTTGATATATACTAAGTAATTTGGCAAAATAAACTTTTATAGCATCCTAAAAGGTTTGTTATCCCTGATTCATGTCGCTTGGCACTTTTACGGCATTTTGTTGTATCATTTTCGTCGTGGATTCCAACGCCGGCGCAGTCTATTATATAACGGGGAAATGGTCGTGTGAAATCAAGATTTTATATTCGATTGATATTTTGATTTCAAAGATGTTTTGCGATTGAATTGTGTGAAATTATTCTTAAATTTTTCGAAAATGTCGGGACATACATTACTATTGTGGATTTTGTCTTTTACTTGGAAAGTAAACGCACAATTTGGAAGTAAGTATTTTTAATTATTTTTTGGTTTATTCGTAAATGAAAACCGGAAAAATGAAGGTTTTATAGGTAGCTTGTAATTAATATACCATAACGGAGATCTAGATAATGGTATGGCTACAGGTTATTATACAAATATTTGAGAGTATAGTTCCTTAGTACCTATGAATTTTAACCGAAGTGAGTGACGTATAAATTAGTTCGAATCTGAAAAAAAGCGCAAAGCGTACCATTATTATTTTAATATAACCCATTAAACATAGATATCTTTATTTTATGGCCGCTTTTATAAAAGTATATAATCAAGTATCATATAATATCCTAAGTTTTGTATATGTGGTAGAGCCATGCTGCAGTTATATTAGTAGTATAATTGTAGCACGAATGAATCGGCTCGACCGGGGAAGGACCACGCTTTCATAGAAATCCAGCTTGAAATGGTAGCTTGATGCTGCTGCGTTTCGTATGGTGAGTGTAGAGAACCGGAGACCCTTTTTACTGGAAATGAGGCATTCCATCTTAGTCCTCACGGATGACAACGCATCTGAATTTTGATTCGTAATCGAGGATGGATGTAGATGTCTATGGGCCACAGCAGCCACTTACCATCGGGTGGACTGTGTGCTCATTTCTCAC